GGAGCTGAGCAGATCATCAAGTCCGACCCCCTGCCATGGGCAGGAAAGAATGTTGGGCTCAAACGACCCCAGCTAGGTGTCAATCTAACCTCCTTTTGAAGACCCCCAGGGTAGGATCCAGCACCACTGCCCTTGGAAATCGGTTCTAGATCCTAGCTGACTGTGAAGTAGTGCCTCCTGATATCTAGCCTGAATATACTCTCCGTCAACTTATGGCTGTTATTCCTTGTTACTCCTGGTAGTGCTCAGGGGAACAGGGATTCCCCTGATGCCTGCTGGTCTCCCGTGGCCAGTTTGTAGATGGCCACCAGATCCCCCCTCAGCCTTCTCTTGTGGAGACTGAACAGGTTCAGGTCCCTTCGCCTCTTCTCATAGGGTCTGCCCTGCTGCCCCCTGATCATGTGGGTGGCCCTCCTCTGGACCCTCTCGATGTTGTCCACATCTCTCCTGAAGTGCGGCTCCCAGAACTGGACACAGTACTCCAGCTGCGGCCTGATCAATATCATATAGATGGGGAGGATCCTTGGACCTGCTCGTGATGCATCTGTGGATGCATGACAAGGTGCGGTTAGCCTTCCTGACTGCGTCCCCACATTGGCGGCCAATGTTCATCTTGAAGTCTGTAACGACTTCAAGATCCTTTTCTGCCTCTGCACCAATGAGAAGGGAGTTCCCCAGCCTGAAGGTATGCTGCTGGTTCTTTTTCCTTAGGTGCAGTACCCTGCACTTTTCAGTATTGAAACTCAGTTTATTCTCATCCGCCCACCCCTGTAATCTGTCTAGATCCAATTGCAGGCTGTCCCTCCCTTCTAGCGCACCCACTTCTCCCCACATCTTAGTGTCATCTGTGAATTTGAACAAGGTGCTTTTCACCCCCTCATCCAAGACGCTGATGAAGATCTTGAATAGTGCAGGTCCTGACGGACCCCGCTTCCCACACCCCTCCAGGTCGAAAATGACCCATCCACCACCGCTCTCTGGGTGCGGCCTTCCAGCCAATTAGCAACCCATCTGACTGTGTAGGCATTGACGCCACAATCTGCTAATAGCTGAGTGAATCTATACAGATGCTGCAGAGCTGGGTCAAAGTAACGTACTGTGTCTTCTGCTAAATCATGGCTTGGGGGGGGAGAGGAGGGCTTTAAAGTCTGCAAGCAGCCTATGAGAGTTCAAGAAAGGCATCCATGAGATGTGCAAAGAATCTCTAGGCTTCTCCACAAAGAAATATCAGGATCAATTTGATGGAAGTAATTGGGAAATTCCACCTCTCACTGGCAGAATAAGAAGAGCCTTCAAAGCTTGGTAGGATGACATCAACTCCAAGCAGAAACAAGACACTTATTGTCACATTAAAGCTTGAGAACCAGAGAAAAAATAGTGTGAAAGAACAAGTGGTAGGAGGACAAAGCAACAGAGATTCAAAATTTGAGGACAGACTCAACACACATAGTAGTTTCTTCAGCTACTAAGCACACAAGGAACCATTTTTCTGAGGTCCAAGGATAAAACACTCTTTAAAAACAGCCTCATCATCAACTCAAGATGGAAGAAACACTTTTCAAGAGCTCTTGAGTCAAGCTTGTAATACTGAAGACAATACCATCAAAGCCATTCCACAAAATTACAGACAACCTTGCTAATATACTAATATACGGATCAATAACAGCAATTGTACCCAGTTATATTGTGCTTAAAATATGGTATATGCATAGTTTACAAATTAACTTGGAGAACTTCCAAGAGTTGAAAAACACTCAAGCCTCTGTATTTATAGACCACTCCCATTTACTTGACTGGGAGTTGTTCATATGCCCTAGCTGGAAAATTGGGTCTAAGAACTTATTTCTTGTGAAAGTATTGTACTACCAGCATTGCATTATTCCCACAAAACTTGTGTAAAATATAAACTGTTCCATTATATATCAGAGGCAATGTACTCTGTAGCGAAGGTGGGTGGCTGTAGTTATTGTTTTTAATTGGTATAATGTATACAGAAGATTCCTAACAAAGTGGAACCTAGATTTCTCACAAAGTTAAATTTCTTAGCTCCCTGTGAATGCCAGGGTTTGCGAATTAGCTGGGATATATTTAGCTGCACCAACCACTGCTTGGGACTGCTGATGAATCCGGCAGACAGGAGAAGTAGAACCATTCGAAATAAAAACTACAACTTGGTTATACTCAGCAACTTGCTGTGAATTAAAGGGGCTGTGAAACCACCCAGATATCAATGATCTGGGTTGCTGGAATAGCTTGTTAAAATGTATCCAGTCATGGAATTGCATAAAGTCTTGAACTGGATGGTTATACTCAGTATGGTTACACTCAGTAGAATGTACTATTATCTTGTTAGTAACAATCATTAATTAAATGATGCTATAATATGCCAATAAAGCAATCATATAAGCAGGTTTGTGTCAGAGTTGCCAGTGTTGGTGAAAGGGAAAATAATGTTTTCATTGCCTGAAAAATAATGTACCGCTCTCTGCAGAGATGACGGGAACCTAGCCATGAATTTCTCATATTTGGTGATTGTGCTCATGTCTGTTTTTCTAATAAATATAGGAATTATATTTGGCCTGGTAATAGCCACATGGTTTGTATGTCACTGCTCAGTAATATTTACAGCCTATAAACCTTTCCCCATAACAAACCATATTCGAGGAAGATTTATGTCTAGTAGTTGAAATGAATTATTAATATATACCAAAGCTGTGCTACTGAATGCAGTTTATAAATGCTATAAAAGGTAGCAGGTAAGTTATAATTTATATCGTATCAGTTGCAGAGAAAATATAACAAACAATTAAGGTGCCAAAATAGATTGTGTACTGTTGGTAAATCAGGGGGTTTTAATGTAGTACCTAGTTGTCTTTTCTGAACATTGTTTCAAAAAAGAAATATAGTACTGCAAAGCAGCATGCATTAAAAATCATAGCCTCTGTAATAAGTCCACATTAATAGTCATGTACCCAGACATGGTTTTAATGAATGATCCTTCTGTTTTTTTGGTTATGTAAGTGTGTGGTATGAGGACTTGTGTACACACTAGTGCTTGATAGCTTAACCTCTTTCCTATCACACAAAAGTACTAGGGAAAAGATGGTATCTAGAATAGTGACTCCTTCTCCCGCACTGAGTCTGTATATACAAGTCTGCCTATTTGTATTTATAGCCTACAGTGTCTACTCCAACTACTAGTACCCCTTTAAGTCACAACTTTGCATTTGATCCAGCATTCAGAAAGTTAACTAAACGGAAAAAAAAAGTCAAACCCAATCAGAATAGGGTGTCCTAAAATGACCCTGTCCATACATGTCAAGTATAACAGAACTCTCTTTAGAACTCTTTGAATTTTGTGGAAAATAAGGGTCTTAGATTGATGTGCTAAGTTTCGTACAATTGAGAAAGAGACTAAATATTTCCCTTTTGCATCATTTCTTTTATTGAGTAAGCATCTTTGTATAAATAAGAACTGACCTTTGGAATAAAGAAACAATCATGTTTAACTTGACTTTTTTTTTAGTTAATTTATTTCTAATAGAAACACTAACAAGTATAAGGATCAGTTTTGAAAAAAATCTTTTCCCTTAGTACATGAATGAAAAAAGAAAAGAAACACCATAGTCTGATATTTTCATCAGAGTGTGAATAATGGTGGGTCCTTGTTAATAGGACACTTGTGGGAAAGAACTATGTGCTTATTTGTTTCTGTTGACAATAGCAAATGTCAACCTGTTTTGCTGGGTTGTTGCATTTTTATCTAACATCCTGTCTCAGTTATCCATAAAACATTTTTCAAGTGCTATTGTGTATAGTACACTGAGAAAATCATGTAGTAGCAGTCCCATGACTGATCTTATAACACATATTCAAATGACTAACCAGCTATATAGAAATCTGAGCTAGAGATTTGAAAATATACTGAAGCATTTTATAGTTTGCCTACCCTTGTTTCATTCGAAAGTGAATTAGAAAGTAACCTTAGATCACTAATTCTTCCATCTAAGGGAAATAGCTGAGTTGTAAAAGACAAAACGTAATGTTGTGGTGGAATGTGGAGAGTTGTCTTGATGACGCACAGTAGGCCGCACCTGTCATTACTGGTAGGAAAAGATTTATAGAAAACAGCCTGAAAAGTTTCTTCATGTGACAGAAGTACCTCAGAAAGTTAACTGAGAATGACTATTTTTTGCTGATTTTTGATTACTGACGTTGCCTATAACCCCAAAGTAATGGCCTTGCCTGCATCCGAAAAGCAAAAAAAACTAAGGTTATTTTTTTCTATGATTTATTAACCTAAGTTGAGTTGACACTTAATTCTCCCAAGTTTTTGCAATAGATGTGGTAGAGGAAGAACATCTACTATATCAAGTTAATAAATGCCCCTTAGTCCCCACTGACAGACAGGAGCTGTAGTGTCAACAGCCTCAGGCCACTTATGTTCAAAAATAGCATAGTTGATGAAACCCAAAATTTAAGATGCAAGCTGGAAATAACTGCTGGCTTCAATCTTAGACCGTTGTCATCAGACACTCATGCTAGCTAGATCTAACACACTTGAATGCAAATGAGAAAATGAGGACACATTTCCCTCTAAGAGAGTAACCCATATGTAAAGCAGGCACAGCATCTTTAGTGGTGTCTAAAAAAACCAAAAGCCACAGTGGTTTATTTTGGGAGCCCATAGGTAAAATGGTCTTAACATTTCCAAGTGTGCTTTTAAAAAAAAAAAGAAAAAACAATTGTTTCTTCTCAGCAGCACCCCTTCTCCTTGTTCCTTTTGTTTCTTTAAAATAGAATTTGGACAACGAACAAAGTTGTTGTGGGTTTCCTGAATTTTGGTTGGAAGGCTGGTTGTTCAGTATTGCATTTTCATACTGATTGCAGGCAAACCCGTCTGTGCTGAAAATAGCTCAAATGCTCCTAGAACAGAAGCATCAGCCAGCAGCTGAGATTCTTTTGCTTTCATGCCTCTCTCTTTCTCTCTCTCCTTACAGACTCTTGGATTTGGCTTAAATTTAAGCCCTAGGAGTGTAAACCCTTCACAAAGGGCTAAATAAACAAGAGCTCTACGTACAAGGGCACAAGCACTTACTTCCTCTGTACTTGAAAAACAGCCGAACTCGTCCGTCTGGTAAGTCATTTTTGTTAAGGGTTTATGCTTTCTTATTGTACACATGAATAACATTCTTGAGTTTCCAATTAATGTTCAGAGAGAACCTGCCACTGACTGCTAATGTTTCTTGGCTATAAGTTCTATTTCTGTATATAAATCCAAATACATGTATGTTATGTAGAGGTAATAGTCTAGTCCTACCTCACTGTTGTGTGCTTGAGACTCTACAAAATATTAACTTTATAATTACAAACCCTACTTCTTAAAAGAGAGTGAGATTTAAAGTAGTTTATTGAGTAGCTAGCTTTATTTATTATACCTAAAGTGTTTGATTGTCTAACTGAAACCCGAAGTTCTTTTTTATATTGCTTGCCTTGCTTAAGGTTATAAAAGTTAGTTAAATGAAATCAACTTTCTGTATGAACAGGATTTCTCTATGGAGCAAAGTACAATGCATAGCAGTTTAAAATTAAACTCTCCCACTGATTCACTTGTGGCATTTTTGCTTCCCTGTTTCACATACTGCAGATAAAATAGCTTAAAATATTGTTTACATATGCAGCATAATTTATTTTTCTACCAAAAATATTATTGCATGTCTCTATATAACAGTAGTTGTAGGCACACTTACTAGTAAGCTTTTTAAAATCTGATAATACAATATTTGTGTAACTTCTGTCTCCTCCAATAAAAGGATACTTGTGTTTTACAATTCTCTATGTATCGTGATCCATTTACCTCAAACATTATAATTTTTGTATTATAGGATGTTAGCATTTTTCTGGGAAAATATAGTTTTATCATGCTGTTACCTCCTAAATAAAAATTCTGATATTTTGTCTGTTACCTTTTGATGGCTTTCCTAATTATGACCAAAACAAAGACCCCCCCCCCTCCCCCCCCCCCCTCACCACACGACTGGCGCTTCTCGTAGGCGCCT